AAACAACCACTCAGTCATATGACTGACTGAGGTGTCTGTATAGGGCAGTTGGTCTGTGGGGAAGTATGGAGATGACCCATTTCCGAGCGAGTTCGCATTATAATACGAAATGCTTCAGCCTCAGCAGCTGTCGAATCTTTCGCCTTTGCCCTGAGTTATGACACAAGTGTATCTGCTGAAGGTACCAACAAATCAATCTGTGTAGGTAGGCTGAAGACTAAGCAACACACATTCTCTCGCCAAAACTCACATTACCCATTCTCTCACCAAAACAACTAAAGTTAATCTCGATATCGGATATTGCGTATAGTCGCTGTATATTACAATCTCCGCTACACCGAACAGACAACTTAAAGACCCAAACGCGGCCACTCATCGGAGAGAAGAAGTGGGTTTCAACCAGAGCTTCAACGCTTTCCACGAAACAAAACGTTAAAAAAAACAAAGAAAGAACAGAAGTCCTTTCTGTTTGGGTGTGCAGTACATAACTCAAACAGTACGACATGGCAAGTGCACTGTGAAGTGACGGAGACATAGCCGTTAATATGAGGAAGATCAAAGTGAACTCTTGTATACGTGCTCGTCTGTCTTGCTGATGGTTAGTTTATAAATATATATATATATATATATATATACGTAAACATGTACATATATACATATGCATGTATTTATACTATATACATATATACATATACATATCAATACGATCACCTGTGTTTATTGAGTGTGCCTGGAATTGATACCCTTCCCCAAACCACACTTGAACCTCTCTTATTATATTCGAGAATCGCTTACATGCTGCTTCGGTTATTCATACCAATACTCGTGCAGATATGAAACACACCTCAGACAGTTCAATCTCACACGCATCTTGTCGATCGTTGACCCCGAATTTGATGTCGTAGCCAGAGTGCTGAAGTTCAACACCTTGCAGAGCCTCACCCATAGTTTCATGATAGTGTCCCACCTACATACGCCAGGGATATGGCAGAAGGGATACAAGAGAGTATGTGTAAGATTGGATATATATATAAATATATATATATATATATAGTTAGAAAAAATGCCAGCAAACATAACATTATGACTTCTCAATTGATCCCCCTGTACACCCCACGTAAGTTTCCGGTCGGCTAGAAATAAATTGGATTTGCATAAGTAAATACAACTTTGTTTCTTCTCTACCACACAGAGTTTCTTGGTTTCATAATAGTGACCCACCCGTATCGCTATGTACGAGTCAGACTAGATATAAATAGTTTGGAGTTGTGCCAGCATATATATATATATATGTATATATATATATATACTCCCGTATCACATATCACTGTTCCATGACAGTGATTCATCTACACATGCCAAGTATGAGCGAGATTATATATAAACAGATTGTAATTGTGACAGACTATATAATACTATCACTTTTCCTATCACATACGGTTTCTTCGCCAATCATTGCAACACACGCCTGTCCAACGTCAAAAGCTAGCAAGCGATCTTGAATAAATCTGGTATATATGTATTCTATACATGACATACACATAAATGCATACATACATACATACATATATACATATATATATACATACATATACATATATGTATATAC